CTGTTGCTCCTGAATCGATAACCCATTTTGAGGATGAAGATACAAGACATGTGTTTGGATTACCTGAATTAGCTACAGCTGAGATAGGAGTAGATGAATGCTTTAGAGCCTCCTGGTAACCTAGGAATTTGGCATATTCCTCCGAAGACATAATGATGGATCCATTAGATGGCTGTGTAGCGGAAGCAATGTGAGCGACTTGATTTCCTTGATTTTTGAACTTTAGCTTTCGACAATCTTTGATCAAGTGTCCGGGTTTCTTACAGTAGTTGCATACAACTCCTTTGCCAATCGGTCCTGTGCGTGGCCACTTCTCACCTCCATTGGGGAATGTTGGGACTTGTCCCACAAAAGCATTGCTTGGCTGAGGTGCTGATGATGTGGATGAAGTGTCAGTGCGAAGCACTCTACTGAAAGCATCTTGAAGAGAAGAGACCACATCACTAGATAGGATATGTGATTTGGCTGTTTCAAAATCAGACGTAAGACCAGCCAAAAAGCTCATGACTGCCATTTGTTCGCGTTGTTTCTGCTGCACTTTGATATCAGGACTAAAGGGCATTAAGGTATTAAGTTCTTCATACGTTTTCTTGAAATCCATAAAATAAGCTGTGAGAGGCTTATCTTTCATTTCTGCCCTGTAAAAGGCTTTGCACACCTCATAGATGTGGTTAAGATTACCTTTGCCAGAATACATAAATTCCAAATAATCAAAGAGTTCTTTCACAGTATCACAATGACTAACATACCCCATGACGTCATTCTCCATGGAGTTCTGAATCTGGATAAATAATCTAGAATCATCACGAAGCCAGACAGCATTAGCAGCTCTATCAATCTCCTCCTTTGGCGGGTCATCAACTAAGTGGGTGTATTTATCAATGCTTCGTAAATAACGTTTGATAGTTTTACTCCATTCAAGATAGTTAGAGCCACAAAGTTTATTCTCAGTAATTTTAAAATTAATGGGAATAACTTCGGAAACTACCAAAGGCTGAGCATGTTGTACGGTGGAAGTGTCTGTATCAGAACCAGGCATTTTTTTTTTTTGATTTTTTTTTTTTTTTGACTTTTTTTTTTGACTTTTTTTTTTAATTGCAGAAATAAGATGCTATGTATTAAGTAAACTTACAGCGACCAAAATACTATCCTTGAATGTCGTTGTTACTTAATAAGCAAAGTCACAGAAAGATAATACCGTTCAAGACACCGGAAAATAGTTCCGATGGATTCTCCGGCGATTGGGTCTGCGATTAGGTCTGCGAGGTCCTCTGACGGCGCGTGTGGCCTGCGGATTTCGAGTGTAAGGTCGGCGGCGGAAGGCGTGACTGCTTAGGGTGGAGGTGATGCTATGTGAAACTGTGGATTTTGGACTGAGGTTCTGAATTTTGGGCTAAGGTTCTGGCTGAGGCATGAACTGAGATTCTGAAAAATACTGCTAAGCTAAACTGGAACAGATTGCTCTGATACCATGTTGTAAGAATTAAAGATAGAATAGTAATGAGAAGAATGATTTTTGTGTGTATTTCATTGGAGGGTCAAGCCCATATATATATACATTACAAAGATAGAATATTCCTTTAAGATTCTATACAATAATAATATCCTAGAGTATATTCCTAAAATATTCTAAAGCATATTCTAAAGATAGAAGAATATTCTAAAACATATTCTAAAGAATATTCTATAATGTCTTTCACACAAACGATAGAAGCAAAAGAGGCTCTGAGAAAGATGAGGCGGAAGAAAGTAGTCCTGATGGCATACCAATCAAGGCTTGGAGAAGTTTGGGATAGAAAGGCATCGAGTGGTTAACACGGTTCTTCAACAAGATTTGGAGAAACAACAAAATGCCAGTGAGTTGGCGGAAGAGTACTCTCATTCTCGTATTTAAAAATAAGGGTGATGTGCAAGAATGTGCCAACTATCGAGGGATTAAGCTTATAAGTCACACCATGAAACTTTGGGAGCGAGTAGTTGAACAAAGACTTCAAAAAAGTGTGAAAATTTTAGAGAATCAGTTTGGTTTTATGCCTGGACACTCAACAACTGAGGTCATACGCCTGCTTAGACAAGTTGTGGAGAAGTATAAAGACACTAACAAGGATCTACATTATTGCTTATTGACTTAGATTAGAAAAGACATATGATAAGGTACCTCGAGAAGTCCTTTGGTGGGCCTTACTAGAAAAGGCATATCACATGAGTACATCATTATCATCATGGATATGTATGAGGCTTGTAGCATAGTTACATAAATCGCTAGGGAGGCCACGATCTGCGAACCGAATGCTGCGTACCCAATCATGGTACGAAAGCGATCCGGTCGCCATCCGGAACGCTAAACGGTACGGTTTTCTGGTCGATTGTTGTTTCGAACGATCTTAGTCACAGTTTGAATCAATTCCAAAGGCTTTCAAACTTGATCGAAAACGAATCTCAAGTCGTTCCCGAACTGTTTACCCAGCGAACGCGTTTGTAAAGGTCGTTTCCCAAGTGAATCATCGTTTGAAAATGAAAGCACATATTTGAAATATTTGTACAGGAAGGTGCTTTGTTTCAGACGCCTGTAAGCGTACGGATTTCAAACTAGGCTCTTTGTTTTCTGATCCTACTCATCCATTTTACCTTCTAACTGTTATAAATTGAGAGAGAATCACTGTTTTCTGGAATATCTTTGTTTTCTGAAATATTAATGATTTTTATTTTGTTTAATGTTATGACATATGTTTATGAAATCTGTTTTTGTTAAATGTTATGACTTATGAAATCTGTAATTAAGTCTTACTCCTTCCGTCCCGAAAACGTTCGCCAATTGACTTTTCTTGTTCAATGACAATCAACTTTGACCAATGGTATTTTTTAATACGACATTATTTTGAATATGAAAGTTATATCAAAATGTTCCTTATTCAAAATAATTCCATAAAAGTATGAAATTTATAAATATATACAAATATAATAATTAAAATCATTATCCAAAGTTTGTTATCATTGACCGAGAAAAGTCAATATGGCGAACTTTTTTGGAGCGGAGGTAGTAATATAGTACCCAAATATAAGATACAACGTATTGAACATGTGGTATAGCGTACCAAACGCGTACCGAAATGAATCTACCCCCCTCTGAACCGGATACGCAAGATCTAGCGAAAGGCGTTCCCGATCCTCGATCCCTTACCGAAGCGTTCCGCAAACTATGTGACTATGGTTTGTACTACAAGTGTCTGTATTAGTGTATGGAGGACCGCAGAGTTCCCTATTACTATCGGAGTGCACCAAAGATCGGCTCTGAGTCCTTTATTATTTGTTATAATCATGGATGAACTTACGAAGTCAATTCAAGAAGATAGACTGTGGTGCATGATGTTTGCTGACGATATTGTATTGATTGATGAGACGCAATCGGGTGTTAACGCAAAGTTGGAAGTATGACGACAAACATTGGAGACCAATGGTTTCAGACTGAGTCGAAGCAAGACTGGGTATATGGAGTGCATGTTTAATGGAGGTAGAAGTAGTAGTAACAGTGGCATTACTCTTGATGGTAAGGAGATACCGGTGTGTGATATGTTTCGTTACTTGGGCTGCATAATTCAGAAGGATGGTGAATTAGATGGAGATGTATCCCATACAATCAAAGTTGGGTGGATGAAATGGAAGAGTGCATCGGGATTTCTATGCGATTGAGGCATGCTTTCTAGAATGAAGGGTAAATTTTATCGAACTGCAATTAGGCTTGCATTAATGTATAACGCGGAGTGTTGGTGAAACAAAGTCACATTCAAAAGATGAGTGTGGCAGAGATGCAGATGTTGTGTTGGATGTGTGGACATACTAGAAAAGACCGCTTGAGGAATGATATAATCAAAAGATGAGGGAGCACGTATAGAAAATAAGATACAAGAGTCTCGATGGCGGTGGTTTGGTCATGTGCGCAGAAGACCGAGTCATCCGCTTGCTAGACGATTTGAGAGGTGGGGAGAAGAGGCATGGAGGAGAGGGAGAGGAAGACCCAGCTAGACGATTTGAGAGGTGGGGAGAAGAGGCGGGGAGGAGAGGGAGAGGAAGACCCAAACAGACTTGGATTAGAGGAATCAGGGCTGATATGCGTCTTCTTAGGTTGGATGAGAGTTTGATTTTGGAGAGAGCTAAGTAGAGGGCGCACATTCGTGTGACCGATTGATCTCTTTTCTATCTTTTCTTTCCCTTTTTTCTTTTATAGTTTATCTTCTTTATCTTTCTATATTCCAGTGTTAGTTTTATCTTCTATCTTTCTATATTCTTATGTTAGTTTTATCTTCTATCTTTCTTATGCTCTTTTATCTTTTTATCTTATATGTTTCTTATGTTATTGTTATTTTATATTCATCTTTACCTTATCCGATTTGTCTTACTTTTTTTTATTCTTCTTTCTTATCTTTTGGCTCTCATATCATGGATCGATTCATGTTAGACGACCCCAATATCTTTTGGGATCATGGTTTGGATGATGTTGTTGTTGTAGAAACTACACTAAAAGTTTTATTGATCACCAAAACCAACCTTTAATGTATACTCCCTCTGTCCCTTAAAACTTTGCCAACTTTCCTTTTTTGGGTTGTCTCACTAACTTTGCCAGTTTCACTTTTATGTAAACGATTTGTAGTTTCAGTTAATTCTCTCTCCTCTACACAAATCTCTACCACACAGTTTCTACTTTATTAATCCTCGTGCCGGTCAAACTTGACAAAGTTTTAAGAGACGGAAGTAGTATAATCAAGGGAAAACTATCAAATAAGCCCTCGAACTTTCATAAAAAATGCAAATAAGCCCTTTTACAGAAGACTTTGTCCGGATGTCGCCATTTGCGAAGTGATGATGAAGTAAAATTTTATGCAGTTGTAGGTGAACACAAAATGGAGTTGAGAGGTAAAATACAACCACAGGAACCGAAAAGTGACAAGTACAAAACGCAAAACTGGTTATAATTTCTTCTTGAGGAAGTCATAAGATGTTACCTGCATAGCACCAATGGACACCGCTAATAAGGAAAGAGGGTATGCTACTATTTTGAAACCAATATCCTGAAGTTCAACCGGAGTGAGTATTGGTGTTTTTCCTCCACCTTCAAGCATGTTAGCCTAGATAGCACATCAAAGATTTGTTAATGAAGTTTGTAAAAAGGAGCCCAATGCTCATGGCAATTTATGATACTGCAAGATTCCAGCTACATACGCCTATGGCGATCTGTTCCGTCTGCCTGAAAAATAAAACCTATTGTCTGATCTTAACTAAATGTTTGTGATTTTTTTTTATTTCCTTGTTCGAAATATAACATCAAGTCTGGTCTCAATGTTTTTGGTCTGGCTGATAACAACAACATCCAAGCCTTCTTCTCAAAAGAGTTTGGGGTTGGCTAACATGAATCGACGTATGATATCAGAGTTAAAACAATAAATAGAGGGAAAATGGTACAAACAAAATCGGATCAATCCTCCACACGTTTTGGTCTAGCTGATATGAAAAAGGTGAACAGCACAACACCAAACACACAATAATGTTTTTATTATGTTATAGTGCTTATAATGTGACACTAGCAGCAACAAGATTGAACTACGATGTGAACGGAGAAAGATAGCTTTGTCTTGCAAATATATATCCAAAAGCCGAAAATAAATGTCCATATCTTGCAAATATAAGTTAAGATTGTTGTTTCTTTGAGGATGTAACTGACTAAAAGTCTCAATGCTTGGGAACTCATTTAAGAGATCACAATTATTGCAAAAGAGAATAATATAACACTAAAGGAGGGCAAAGGGGGGAATAAAACGAAATCAAACCAAACATATTGATAGAACACGAATTTCCACAGTAATAACAAGGTAATATGAATGGCTTGGAGAAAAAGATCTCTGATTCACGGATAGAACAGAGAAGAAGTAATCGGAAAAGGGAATAAGTCCGGGCAATTCGAGAGTGCTGTTCTCTCCAAGTCCAAAACTGAAAACCAGCCTATCTCCTCTCCCCTCTCACCAGACTTTTTATTCCCCTTACAGTGGCCCCCCTTCTTAGCTAATTAGTTACGCCCCTATATCCCCTTTTAGCCCTCCTGACATACACCTGGGAGAAATCCCAATCGGGATTAATCTTTAAATCCCCCAAAGTCCTAACATCACTCCCCCCTTTGAATAACACCTTGTCCTCAATGTGGAATTCAGGGAAGTTTTTATGGAACTTATGGAGCTCTTCCCAAGAATCTTCAAACTCTGGTAAATTCTTCCAGTGGACCAAGATCTCCTGTTCTCCTGCTTCATTGATCTGCCCTCTTTGATCTTCTCAGACTGCGCCTGCAGCTCCCATTCTTCATTCAAACATGTAGGAAGAGGCTGACTTTGAACGTTAGGAGCCAGTGCCCTCTTCAGAAGCGACACATGAAAGACCGGGTGTAGGGTGCAGGTATAAGGAAGTTTTAACTTGTATGCCACTGAATTTATTTTTTCTACCACTTCAAAGGGCCTATAATACATGGGGCTTAGTTTCTGATTGAGTTTCTTGGCCAAACTCCTTTGCTTGTAGGGTTGAATCTTCAGATAAACTTGATCTCCCACCTCAAACTGTTCTGACGGTCTGTCCTCGTTTTCTGATTGTATTATTGCTTCATTAGGTTCTGAGCCTTGGATAAATTATCTTTCAATTCAGCTATCATCAAGTTTCTCTCAACCGTAAGTTTAGTGACCTCTTCAATGGCTGTAAAGGTGGCATCTCCCCTAATTAGTGCTGGAGGATTTTGCCCGTATAGGGCCCTGTAAGGAGTGGTTCTGAGTGCAGAATGGAAATTGGTGTTGTACCAATATTCTGCCCAGGGAAGCCACTTGGGCCACTGTTTGGGCTTGCTCCCTGTCATGCATCTCATGTTGGTTTTGACACACCGATTTACCACCTCCGCTTGCCCATCCGTCTGTGGGTGGTACGCTGTACTATATTTCAATTTTGTCCCTGCCACTCTAAACATTTCTGACCAAAAATAAACTGATGAAAATACTGTCCCTGTCAGAAACTATAGATTTAGGGAACCCATGCAACCTCACTACTTCTTGTATGAACACTTCTGCCACCCCTTTTGTTGTGTATGGATGAAAAAGGGGTATGAAATGAGCAAACTTAGTTAGTCTATCAACCACTACGAGTATGGTATCCTTTCCCGTGGCTCTTGGCAGCCCACCCACAAAGTCCATGCTTATATCAGTCCACACCTGTGTCGGTATGGGAAGTGGTTGCAGTAGTCCTGCAGGCTTTAAGGCTTGGTATTTGTTCCACTGGCACACTTCAAAATTCTTGACATATGTTTGTATTTCGGTCCTCATCCCTTCCCAGTAAAAGACACTAGCTATCCTCTTCATGGTTCTCAAATTCCCCGAATGTCCCCTCATGGCAGAACCATGGAATTCCTGTAGAATAGACTGGATTCTGGGGGAATTCTTCGGTAACACTAATCTTTTCTGGTAATATATGAAACCTTTTCGGAGAGTAAAACCAAGTTGAGACCCTGGTTGAGCTAACCAGGTCTGAATAAGTTGTTTACATCTGTCATCCTCCATCAGTTCTTCTTCCCACCCTTGCCATTCTTGACACGTCACCACTGAGAGTGAATAAAATCCTCTTCTGGACATAGTATTTGCCGCTTTGTTCTCAATGCCCAGTTTGTATTTGATTGTGAAGTTGTATCCTAGCAGTTTTGTCACCCATTTCTGTTGCTCTTCTCCCATGATTCTCTGTTCTGTTAAGGATCTGAGGCTTTTCTGATCCGTATGTATCTAAAAACATCTACCCAATAGATAAGGTTGCCATTTTTTACTGTCAGGACAAGGGCCATTAACTCTCATTCATAAACCGATTTCTTCTGATTTCTATCACACAAGACCTTGCTCATATATGCTACTGGTCTTCCTTCCTGCATCAAAACTGCTCCAATTCCCTTTCCTGAAGCGTCGGTTTCAACTATAAATGTTTTACCAAAATCTGGGACTCCAAGAACTGGGAGAGTAGTCATGGCCACCTTGAGTTGTTCAAAGGCTGTCGGTGCCTCCTGATTTCATTTGAACTTTTCCTTCTTCAACAAATTTGTCAAAGTGTGGCTATTTTACTGTATCCTTTCACGAATCTTCTGTAATACCCTGTGAGCCCAAAAAATCCTCTTAAACATTTCACATCCTGAGGTACTGGCCAATTCAGCACATCTTGTATCTTACTGGGATCTGCTGCCACTCCCTCTCCGGAGATTATATGTCCTAGATAAGTCATCTGTGTTTTGCCCAAATAAGCACTTTTTTAATTAACTACCAGTTGGTTCTCTCTGAGAATCTGTAACACCTTTCTAATGTGTTCTGTATGCTCCTCCGCATCTCTGCTATCGATCAGAATGTCATAAAAAACTATGACAAACTTCCTGAGGTAAGATTTAAGGATTTGGTTCATAAGTGCTTGAAACGTAGAGGGGGCGTTTGTTAATCCAAAGGACATCACAATGTACTCGTAATGTCCCGCATGTGCTCGGAAGGCTGTCTTGTGGATGTCAGCCTCCTTCATTTGAACCTGATGGAACCCGAATTTTAAATCCAATTTGGAAAATATCTTCGCTTGTCCCAGTTCATCCAATAATTCTTCTATTACTAGTATAGGAAATTTATCCGGGATGCTGGTCTTGTTTAAAGCTCGGTAGTCACCACAGAATCTCCACCCGCCTTCCTTCTTTTTAACTAAAAGGACTGAGCTGCTATAGGGACTATACCTCGGTCTAATTATATCTGTACTCAGAAGATCCTTCAATTTTTCAATCTCATTCTTCTCGTAATGCGGGTATCTGTAGGGCTTGATATTGGGGATGGTGGCCCCCTCTTTGATGTTAATTGCATGATCACATTCCCTGCTCGGAGGTAGCTCCTTTTGAGGTTGAAAGAGTTCGGTGAATTCAGCTAAAACCTTCTCCCAACTCTCTTCAGGATTGCTCCCTTCAAGGTTGTCTTTTATGGCTTTTTCCCAGTAAACACAATAGCCTTCCCCCTGTTTCTGCAGGTTCTTCACCAATGTCTTCCAAGAAGCTTGTGTCCTGCTCAGAGCCGGGGATCTGCAATTGCCTTTCGTGTTCATCTTCCTCCCATTTTATGATTAATCTTCTGAAATTTACCTTAATGTTTCCCAAACTGACCAACCACTCCATTCCCAGCACCAGATCTGTCCCTCCCAGCTCCAAAAGATAAGTCTTGAATAACATCACCCCTTGTACCCCTACCTGCAAGCCTCTTCACATTCCTTGATTGGTGATCTTGTCCCCATTACCCATCTCAACTTGGAAATGGTGATTTCCCTCATAAGGTAGTTCCAGATCCTCCACCAATCTGCGAGATACAAAGTTGTGGGTTGCCCCAGAATCAATGAGCACTCTTACTGGCTGGCGTATCTCCTGAACCTGCAGCATTCCCTGCACGGCTGCACCATGAATGTTCTAGGAGTGGCAATACCCCCCTTGCTTAGCACAGATAAATGCATTGTTTTCAATTCCCCTTCCACCTCCTCCACCTCTGCTCAGTGAGGTGGGTTGACTCTGGTTCACACAAGAGTTTCTGGTAGCGTCTCAGTTTGCATATATGATCCTTGTTCCGGTTGTCACCGCATTTAAAAGCATAATCCCCTCTTACTCCTATCTTCCAGCTCAGATGGAGTCAATCTCCTCCTACTGCACCAATTCTGTGAGGGTTCTCTCCTAATGTTGTGGAGTATTACTTTGGTTTTTACTCTTCATTCCTTCTGCCCAGTTCAGCTGCTTGGTGCCAATTTCCCTTTATCCTTCCAAACTTTCCTATCCTCCTCTTTGATTCGACCGCCCTTAACAGCCCAATTTTTTTCTTCTACTAACAAAGCCTTATCCATGAGTTCCGTTAACCCACTGGATTGAAATAGCTTTAATTCGGCTCCTATCTCCTCCTTTAGTCCATTTAGGAACACTCCTTTCAGCATCTTCCGGTCTGTATTCTTCATCGGTGCTACCACAAGTTTGAACTGGTCTCGGTATTCCATGACCGACCCGGTTTTGTACCATTTCCGGTTGAAACCTCCTGATCAGTGCATCTTTAAAATTTTCCCA